CGGCTGAGGAACACATTCGTTCTCTATTGTCAATACACTTGCCATCTGTCGTCAGATCATTTCCCTAATTGTTGTAGATAATAATGTATTTATACAATATTTCAATATAATTATAAACTGTTATTTCAATAACAAATGGATATAAGGAAAATTTTATCTTATACATCTTATATTTATATGTTTTCCTTGTTAAAATAACAAGTATTATAATACTTAGCCATTTTGCAAGGTACACTTTAAGCACTTGTATATCTTAGTAAGTACTACAATTCTTATTATTCTTGACCAGAAAGTCAAGACTTTTTAATAGCTTTCTTAGCTTCTTATTACCTTCCTAAAACCCCTAGGTACACAATAAGCTCTTATACATAATGTAGAAAATATATATAATTTATATACATATAAGCTAATACAAAGTTTGAGATATTTTCCTGATGTCATTATTAGGATTAGTAATACTGGCGTTATGACTTCTTGGCGTGCACACGCGGCGCTTAAATGCATACAACTCTCTTTCTCTGAGTTCCGAAAGATCGTGGCGTAGGTGGATTGTGGTGAGGCGAGACCTACTGTCATGGAAAGATTGGCTGCAATTGCGAACTGAAGGATTGCATATAGTTCAGACAGAAATCTATAAATAAATTACATGTTGTGTGTGGTTTAGATGCACAGATCATCAAATGTCAAGCTGAGACTATTTGTCAGAAAATATAAAACAAGGTTTTACCGAGAAGTACTGTTTCTACCGGAATGACGTACGAACAGATCCATTCATCTCGAAAGCAGACGTAAAATATCTCCCAGACTCGGCATTCCAAGTAGTAAGCTGGGTTACAATTATCCCAACAGGACCATACGACTCCGCGCGCAGGTTTATAAGAAGCTGCGGAGCGAAAATAGTCATCACTTTTATCACTATCATTTGATAAGCGTTCTTCAAAGTCCCGATGGTGAAACCGATGTCACCGTCCTATTCGGGAGATTACAACGCATGCAGTGATGAGACGAAGAAAGGAGTAGATGAGCTTACCAGTTCTTTGTTGTGTCCTTGGACAAATGTGATGGCAACAGCCATCGAGCACACACTAAATACTCTTCAGAGAATACGCTTAGGAAATAGACAACCAAGGGCTTCAACCAAGTACACTTACAAGGCAAAATACACGATGGAATCTCTTGCCATCAACGCAACAATGTCCTGAGTCTTGGGTATATGACCTTCATCATACCCCGAGACATAACCCCTCCTCAACTGGATCGTCTTCCAAATCACTAGAAGAAACAGAAGAAACAGAAGAAACAGAAGCAACTCCACGAATGCGGCTACCGACCACGCAATGCCAGACATGGGAAGTGCTCCAATGCACGTGAGAGGAATGAAGTTGGATTTCAAGGAGAGACGTTCAAGTGGTACGTTATCTTCACTATCAACTGTAAACCGAGATCATCAGCAACGTACTGAATACACGAGCTTATGACGGGGCTTGTCTCACTAAGAAAGCGAGTCAGTTGCATAATATTGAATCCAAATAGAAGAGCTGTCAATACGACACATGCAACGAGGTTCATCTTCTTCCGTCCGAAAAGTGCGTACACACGCATCTGAAGCATAACTGAAAAATAGATCAACAATATATATGTGGCATGCCTGATGAGTTTGTCGAAAGAGCGTGCCTTCAGCAAGTAGCATAACCATAGTACCAAATCCGGTGAAAAGTTGGCCATTTAAACCTTGAACAAGTTATCATAAACACGGAACCGGGAAAATTACAAAATAAAAAATAAAAAGTGCTTGCAAGTTGCGAAGAACTTAGGAGAGACCTTATCATCATCACACAAGTAACTTGGTGATGCTTGTATATAATGAGTATATACAGTAATACTTGCCTGCAGAACAAAGCCATGTGGGTCTCTCCACCCAATCTCGAAAATGTTCGTAGACAGATAGCTACGTGACGGCTTGTCAATGATTTTTCGTCTTTGTTCACTACACATACAGTAGAAAGAAGGCGCCCGTGTATCTGGTCTACCAATGGTTAGAAGGTAGGTTCCAACTGAGAAGGTTAAGGACGAAAAATACTAGCAAGTACATGACTTTTCCGGTCGTCCGCCTTTTCGACTTTGTCGAGTGGAGAAAAAACACGGTGATAAATCCGAGAAGTAGCAATGCATACCCATATATATGCAACCTAACCCAGAATAAATCAGCGTCAACGATTATGCACGGCTGTGTTGCCTAACCTCTTCGTCGAAATGTAAAGCTAAAGTTCCGTACTCTAGTTAAAATAACATACACGGATCATGCCAGCAACTCGCCAGTGTAATAAAAGTGGAAGGTGGTGCATAGGACTGTAGTGGGGCACAATAAATATTATTTAGCAAATTATGATTAAGCTGGGATATTAAGCGACACCCGTTACTGCCTTGAAAGCAGTGCTCGTTTCAGGAATAAGCTTGGTTGATACTGAAGGCATTTGGGCGAATGATTAGACCGGGCATCATATGAAATTCTGGAGAACCTCCCACCTAATATAAGTTATATCCAATATTAAATGTTCAGCGGAACAACGGTGAAGCGACATCAAATATAACGAGATGGGCGCAATCAGAATCAACGGATCCGATATCATCACTGTGAGAGCTCAAGACATTGTTTGTGCACTTTCCAATAGCTTGTAATTGTATTTGTTGCTATTTCTGTGGGAAACGAAATAGCCACTCAATGGGGTAAGAAAGACGTAACTCAGGGACACTAAGCATTCGGCTAACGACGATCGAATTTAAGAGACCGACGCTGACACATACTCATCATTTGTCATGTCATAAGAAAATTAAAGACTTAAAGAAATCAAGTTTACTTAATCAACCCAACGGCAAAATCCCTACAATCACACGAAGGTTTCCCCGTCTTCGAGACTTCTGCTATCCTCTTGTACCTCGCTCAGTAATACAATAAGGAGAATATCTTCTCGCGTGACGCTGTGAAGGACCCAAAAGGGTATAGTGAAATCTGCAATGGTTGTTCTTCGGAGGAGTCCACGTCTTCCTGTCGCGTAGTTTGAAGATATGAATGGTTAAATTAACGTTTTCGCAGCACGGTGGTGTCGGTCCCATGCAACGCCAAGCAAGCCATTTCAGCTTCATCCCAGAGAAGTTGTAAGCCTCTCTTAGTCTCTCTTAGTCAAATTCACCCCCACTATCTCATCTCTCCACTCTACTTAACGAACTGCCTCTCCTGCCGTTTTAGTCCATATATCATCAACCGATACCAAAACGAGACAAAACGTCTCTACAGCGTTCTCGAATCCCGTATCTCAAAATAAGACTACCTCGTCGGGAACAAATACAGTGTCGCTAATAGTAATATAAAAGCCTTCGGCTGGGCGCGCGCATTCGAACGTGTCGGACTTTCGTTCTCTAAGTTCCCGAAGGTTAAGGCGTGGGTTGACCGTATTAAAGCGAGGCCTGCTGTTAAGGCTGGGTTGGCTGCGATTTCGAACTGAAGGATTATACGTAGATCAGAGAAAATCACACATGTAGATAGATTACAGGATGACTGTAATTTACAGAGAGGAATCAGCAAGAGACAGTATTCAGTGCACCGTCATTAATCCCTATTGCAACGATTCCACAACAAATTCACTCTCAAATGCAGCGATACCATCCCTGAGTTCACCAGAGCTGAGTTGCTATTGTCCCAACTGGACCATAATATTCTGCACATATATTTAAAAGGAGATTTGGTTCACGCCTTGTTGCCAAAGTTATTACGACCGTCTGATAGGCATTCGGTGTGAGAGGTACAAAGGTATTCAACTTGGAAACTCTAAAAGTAGTTGTATACATAAATCTCTCAAAAGTTAGCTTGAGTAAGTAAAAATGTGCATTATAATATCTGTCTGTCTTTGCAAAGTGAGGGATCATATGCAGACCATAGTAAGAAGAAGTATGTAGATTATGAGATAGTTATTATTTACAGAGGCAAATTACTATGAGACAAAATTTATAGTAGGATGCAAGAGTCTGACCCAGAATAATGTTCAAACATCCCCTCCTGTTATAACGATTCCTCAACAAGGCCAGTCTCAATAACAACATCGACAAGTTCTAGCTCCTCAAGGCCCCAAGTGGGCTGAGTTACTACTATCCTGACTGGACCATAATATTCTGCACGGATATTTATAAGGAGGTTTGGCGCAAGAGTTGTTACCAAAGTTATCACGATTGCATGATATGCTTTCTGTGCAGATCCCATGAAAACAGAGACTTCGAAGCTCTAGTAGTTATTGTACACAGGATGACAGTTTAGAAATTTAAAGGAACAGTAGAGAGAGTGAGAGTTGGCTTACAGGGTTACTCCTCTCAGTTACAAATACAAGGGCGGCTCCGAAAAGGCACAAGGTAAATATACTTTGTCGGTCATGGTTTGGACCACATCAGTTTACAACAATACAGTAGACTGAAAATGGCAGAAGACTGACACAGCAAAATATAGAACTGAATCCCTTGCCATGAGAAAGACGATGTCCTGTTGCTGTGCACTCTCATTTCGCAAGCAGAACAGTGGAGGGTCGTCCTTCCTTATCTGCCTTGCCTTCCATAGCACTAGAAGAAGCAGGACAAACTCTACAAAGGCTGATACAGACCATGCAATACCAGACATGGGATATGCTGCTATGCAGGAAGTAAAGCCAGGGTAAAGTTTGAAAGAGAAATAGGGACCATGAAGCCTCCCTACTTCGACAAAATCTTGATAATGAAAGTGATCAACTCTCTTTTCGTTCTAAATAAGTTACAAGTTCTCTTACTTGGAATCTGCGTTAGCTGCAGAACGTTGAATCCGATCAGAGCTACGGTCAATACAGTAAATGTAATGAGCATTTTCCTCTGGCTTCCAAATAATGCATGTACACGCATTTGAAGAAGGACTAAAAACAGTAAATTAGTACCCTTTTGCAAGTTTTATTCAGCCTAAGCACAATGTTTACCTTCAGCTAACAGGACGATCATTGTTCCCAGGCCTGTAAACAGTCGCCCATTTAGGCCTGTGTATTTGTAGTAAACATATGTTTTATGAAAAAAATAAAAATAAAAATAAAAAATTGGAGGAATACACCAACATTTATTGAAGAAAACGGGTGCATTCTATTAGAGTATATTTGTCAATGATTAAAAAGTCTTGTAATTAGAACAACTCACTGAATTGGAATCAAAGACTCCCACAGAAGTATTTTCCCAATTTATTAATAATTGATTTGCTGAAAGATACCTATATAGTTGTTAGCTAACAATAATTTTGTAAATTTTATCCAATATACATTAAGAAGAAAGTCCCAATATATTTGGTCTATTTCACAGTGTGAATAAGAATATGTAGGCTATCCCAATATAAAGGACATACTATCAAATACATGGCTTTTCCAGACCACCTTTTGGACTTGAATTTTAGTGTAAGAATTAATTGATAGCAAAAATCGGACAGTATAACCTTTACTTTAATTCACTTACCCAAATATACTCAACCTTATCATAAATGAGTTATCTGTGAATTTAGAGTAAATGTAACCAAAAGATGCTAACCTCTTCATCAAAGTGCAGACCTTTATCTGTATTAGAAGGCATCTATTAACATTGAGCAAGACTGACTCGTATAATAGAGATGAAAAGTAGTGCATGAAACTAGGAGGTGTGAATGAGCAATGCTTTGGACAAATGTGAATGTGGATGAGGCACAGGAGCACGGACCTGCCACTGCTTTGAATACTGTGGTTACATCAGCAGTCATACGAAAGTGATTGGGGTCCATTAATGCAAAATCGTTAGTGCATGCTCTTTGCAGGTTATCTATATATATATAGTGACTGCAGAATATTGATGAGCTGTGTGTATTGTAACCATCAATAAACACGTCAAACTGAAAAGACAGGTGTCATATACATGATAAAATCAAAACCATGTCCACAATTTGACATAACTGCATACTGTTGGACTCATTAATATTGTCTGGATCGGTAATGTTGGCATCATAACTTTCGGGCGTGCTCATACACTCAAACGCTTGGGACTCTCGTTCTCCGAGCTCCCGGAGGTCATGGGGTGGGCAGAATGTAATGAGGCAAGTCCTACTGTCATGGCCGGATTGGCTGCAACTGCGAACTGAAGGATCGTATGTAGATCAGACAAAATTCCATAAATAGATTACATGTCGCGTGTGGTTTACGTGTTCACAGACCATCAAATGTCAAGCTGAGACTGTTTATTTATTAGAATGTATGAAATAGGATTTTACCCGAGAAATACCGTTTCTACCGGGGCGACAAATAAACAGATCCATTCACCTCGAAAGTAGACGTAAAATATGTCCCAGCTTCAGCATTCCAAGTAGTAAGCTGAGTTGCAATTATCCCAACAGGACCATACGACTCCGCGCGCAGGTTTATAAGAAGTTGCGGAGCAAAAATAGTCATCACTGTTATTACTACCGTTTGATAAGCGTTCTTCAAATTCTCGATGGTGAAACCGATGTCACCATCCTACCCGGCAGATTACGACGCCACTTAGTAAAGTGAGAGGAAGAAAGGAGCAGATGAGCTTACAAGACCTTTGTCGTGTTCTTGGACAAATGTGATGACAACGCCCATCGAGCACACGCTGAATATTCTTTGGAGAGTTTGTAGGAAATAGACGAGGGCTTCAACCATGCACGCTTACAGAGCAAAATACACGATGGAATCTCTTGCCATCAACGCAACAATGTCCTGGGTCTTGAATATATGACCTTTATCATACCCCAAGACGTATTCCTTCCTCAACTGAATCGTCTTCCAAATCACCAGAAGAAACAGAAGCAACTCCACGAATGCAGTTACCGACCACGCAATGCCAGACATGGGAAGTGCTCCAGTGCACGTGAGAGGAATGAAATTGGACTTCAAGGAGAGACGCTCGAGTGGTACATTATCTTCACTATCAACTGTAAATCGAAATCATCAGCAACATATTGAATTCACGGGCTTATGACAGGGCTTGTCTCACTAAGAAAGCGAGTCAGTTGCAGAATATTGAACCCAAACAGAAGAGCTGTCAATATGACAAATGCAACAAGGTTCATCCTGTTCCGGCCAAACAGAGCGTACACACGCATCTGAAGGATGACTGAAAAATAAATCAACAAATATATATATGGTATGCCTGGTGAATTTGTTGAAAGAGCGTGCCTTCAGCGAGTAGCATTGCCATGGTACCAAATCCGGTGAAAAGTTGGCCATTTAAACCTTGTACAAGTTATCATAAGTATGGACCCGGGAAAATTACAGAAAAAAGAACTTACAAGTTGCGAAAATTTTAGGAGAGACCTTAATATCATTACACCGAATCACTTAGTGATGCTTGTATGTAATGCATATTTATTAACTTGCCTGCAGAACAAAGCCGTGTGTGTCTCTCCATCCAATCTCGAAAATGTTTGTGGACAGATAGCTACGTGGCGGTTTGTCAATGATTTTTCGTCTTTGTTCACGCACATACAGCAGAAAGAAGGCGCCCGTGTATCTGGTCTACTAATGGTTAGAAGGTAGGTTCCAACTCTAAAGTCTACGGACGAAAAATACCAGCAAGTACATGGCTTTTCCCGTCGTCCATTTTTTCGACTTTGTCGAGTGGAGAATAAACACGACGGCAGATCCGAGAGGTAATAAAGCATACCCATATATATGCAACCTAGCCCAGAGTAAATCAGCATCAACGATTATGTGCGGCCGAATTGTCTGACCTCTTCATCAAAGTGTAAAGCTAAGGTTCCATACTAGTTAAAATAACATACGCGGCTTTCGCCAGCAACTCACCAGTGTAATAAAAGTGAAAGGTGGTGCATAGGACTGTAGCGGTGCAAAGTCAGATATTATTCAGCAAATTATGGTCAGGTGAGGATATCAAGCTACACCTGTTACCGCCTTGAAAGCAGTGCTCGTTTCAGGAATAAGTTTGGTTGACACTGAAGGCATCGCGGCGGATGATTAGACTGGGCATCATCTGAAATTATGAAGAACCTCCCACCTTATATCCATGTTCAGCGGAACGATGGTGACGCAACATCAAATATAACGAGACGGGCGCCATCAGAATCGGCGGAACCAATGTCACTGTGAGAACTCAAGACATTGTTTGTGAACTTCCCAATAGCTTGTAATAGTATTTCGTTCCCAGTTCTGTGGGAAACGAGATAGCTACTCAATGGGGGAAGAAAGTCGAAACTCGTGGACGTCGAGACTCGAAAGAGAACAGATATGATCTGCATTGCTACATTAGGGCAACGAGGATTATTTCCCAGAGTCCGACGCTGAGTTGCTGACACATACTCATCTTCGTCAAACAGCATATTGGAAATATAGTTAAAGAAAACGGACAAAACAGTATGTAAATTTGATTAACAACATTCCCATATAGTACCTATCTCAGGAGTACAAGACGAATTGGACTCGTTAAACACTGTTCGTTCCTTCTTCGTTCAAGTCTGCCGCCGCTTGAGCACCTAAATTAATCAGCCAAAGTTGTGACAGAAAGATATGAACATACATGCCTTCAGCAAATTCAATGTCGCTGACGGACCTCGACCTGTAACTGGTCCCTTCGTTCACCCCTCTCTCACCCGCCTCCTTGAGATTAATCAGAAGGTGGCTCCCCAGGACGCAGAGAAGAGTCGGACTTCCAGCCGCATCCAAAAGTGATGCAATAAATGGCTTTATGTCCAAAATTCGAACAAACACTATCCTTATCACACAGCAAAATATTACACTACAGCATACTCTGAGTCATGTAAGTATGCATAAGTGTTCTACTCACAAACTGTAGTATAGAACTTGATCTTCAATGAGGACTCTGACAAGATGGAAGCCTTTGAAACCAGATGACATACTCCAGTATTCTGCTGCTTTGAAGAGGGCCAGACAAAGTAAAATTGACCATATATCAAGGGAGTAGCCCTGTACCAAGTAAGAGCAAGGCTGGACATTTGAGAATTATACTCACTATGAGATGATTGACAGTGATTGTGGTGGAATGTATGTCAGACAAACACTGCTACTCTGTGCAAGACAGGCAGGAAATGCTGAAATACATAATTTCAGTCTTCTTGTTGTAGAATGTAAGAGGCAATTATTATTCTTACACTCTCAAAGTAAACTTTTGTAAATAAGAAGGGAAAGACTAATGCTTGCCTCTATTACAAGAAGTGTCTTGAGAATGACAGAGACTCTCTTATCTGCCAAAACTAGTTAACAAGTCAGGTAAAGTACTAATACACAGATTTAGAGGATGTCTATAAAACAATTCTGTTTGCATAATAATTTTGTATAATAATGGTTGTAACACTCACAGTCTATAAGAACAATTGTAGTCAAGTCTGATATCAAGTCAAATCAGAATTTTATAGTGTAATAATAGACAACTCACTGTATAAGCTAGTTGCCCAAAACATTGCCTAGCCTATAACACAACTCATTACAAAGAAGGTATGAGCAGAAGGGGAAACACACAACTATAAGTAGTATGTGTTTAGATTTAAGGTTAGTACATACTAGTCATATTCCTATTTGTCATATACCTTAAAATATTTTGTTTAAAGTCTTTGTCTAGAATAAAATAACAGGTCAATATCTTCATCTTCTTGTAAGGTAGTAGATTGTAGAATATTCCATACTTATTATCTTACAAATTATCCTAAAGAGTCTAATATAGTAGTTTCAAGAAACAAGAGTACAATGTGTAAAATTAACATATACCTTAACAGTCCTTACTATAAAATATATTAGACTAACAGTGCTGAGCAGCTTAGACTGTGTTACTAGTAATAAATTATGTTACTTTATAAATGAATATTACAGTAAGCCCACTCTAAAATATTTTATTTATAGAAATATTACTTAGTGTTTGCTTGGTTAGTAATTAAACAATAGTTGTACCTCTTTATCTATTACTGTCACTTAGATAGTATATTGTGTTAGTAAACTCTATTAGTTATAAAATTCTAATACAAACAAGAGTAGTAAAACAAGACAGTTAACAATACTATAAGAAATTACTATTGAGTCATAGCTTCAGAAACAAACAATTACACTATACTTAAGTTAACATTTACATTATTAGAGTGTATAAAGAACAAGTAGGTACACTTGTAGTAGAGATTCTAGTTTACTATCAAAGGAGAGAGTATAAGACAAGGTAAAGATAAAGTCTAAACTAGCTGCCTCTTTATAAGAGTTATGAATTTGAAAGGCAATCTAAACTGTATTCATTCTTTGTCTTACATACAGAATGAGATCATTTAGATTAAAGTCTACTTTGTAATATTAAGTACTTAAGCTAAGGAGAAGAGTACTATATAGATAATATTAGATAAAGGCAGATATATGTGTATCTGTATTAATGTTACTATAATAAAATACAATGGAAAAACTGAAGAACAAAGACATAGAATCTATAACTCAGTCACAGTAAAATATAACTATGTATTATGTATTATATATAACTTGGATTGTAACAGACAGTGTTTACTACTTCTCATCTATGTTACAGTCCTCCACTCTTGTACCTTCAGTTCTACAGGTTCTACACCCTTCTGTACTAGAACTCAGGACTTCTGTCCCTCAGGGACACTGTTTATAAACTATATACATACTAACTCTTACTACTACTCTTCCTTACTTTATCATTCTATTCCTTTGACTACCTCTTTATTCTTTGTTCATTCTATAGTCTCTTACCCTTTGTCTATCCTGTCATTCTTTGTACCTTTATCTTTAACCTTCCTTTCTTTCATTCTTTATAGCTTATCATTCTTAGTAGCTCATACTTCCTGAGTACTCTTGTATAGTTTAGTATATATAAGTATACAAGATCAGGCTGGTTCTGTAGTCTTGATCTTGTCTACTCTAGATAGTCCTGTACTCTTAGGCTTACTCTATATACTCTACTCTTGTCTTACTCCTTCTCTCTGTCTGCTTTACAAGTTCCAACTATATTCTAGTACTTGTGTTCTGTGTTTCTGTTGTGTAAGATAGTTGTAGCTTAGGCCCCCTTACTAAGCCTTTAGGTCCCCTCTACACTGTTACTAACATCAGATTAAGACTACTCATTACTACCCTACAACTCTCCTACATTTCAGGCATTAGTACTCACTATTGTATTAATCTCTTTTCCTTACTCTAACCCTTTTACATTTTTAAACTTTAAACTCTCTAAACCCTTTTAAACTTTTGCCACCCTTCTTCTATTCATTACCCCTTTTAGTTTAGTGCTGATTCTGTTGTAGTGTAAACATGAACCCTTCTATACTGACTGTCACCCCTACTGTCCTACTGAATCAGTAGTTGTAAGCAGACTTAGCTTAATATGTACAGACCTCTATCTAAGAGGCCTTTACTAACTATGTACTCTTAGCCCTCTTAGAACCTGTTCTAAATGTTCTGGAAGTCACAACCTGTTCTAGAAAGAAAGTGTATGTAGTCTACCCTTCAGACTTTAATAGGTAGCACTTTAAGGACTTCTAGTGTTAAGTCAAACTATACATGGCTACTACTTTAACTAACCTATTCTCAGACCTTAATTGTATCCTATTTGTCCTCTCCTTCATGAAGGAAGGCAACACAGCCACCTGGGCTCAGAACTGGATCAAAGGACATTGGATTAGAAGCTTGATCTGACTTTAGAATGATGAGTTGTATTTAGAATTTATAAGACAGCTCTGTACTTCCTTTATTAATTCAAATGAGAAGTACAATATACAGAACAAGCTTGTATCTCTGTAACAGGGTAAACATTCCACCAACACCTTCTTTCAGGAGTTTGATATCCTGGCCTAAAAGGCAGGATTTACACTTAAGTTTAATAATGTTCTTATTAGAATACTTGAAAAAGCTCTTTACCTAGAACTGGTTAATAAGATTCTTAGAATAATGCTAGAACTGATCACTTACACTAAGTAGAAGATACACACTATTTCCTTTAACCAAGCTATAGCTCAGATGTGTTAAGTCTGTATAGAATACTTACACATGTGTCTAGCTCTAACAGTTCTGAACTCTCAGATTGATTCACTTGTAATTCACAATCAATCTGTTCTGATAAACATTAGAGAAGCCTAAAAGTAAGGAGTATACTTTGCCTACAGAAAGTCAGAGTACTAGATTAAGGACTGTTTACAGAAGTGACAGTATATCTGTTAGGTCATTAGAGTAATAATGAGTAACAAGTAGGATTTGTAGTAAGAAGCCTTTTCTACAAATCTGGAAGTCACCTCAGAACTCTTAGACTCTGACTACATACTCTAGGATTTTGTAAAGGCCTAACAGTGAATGTAGTACTAAAGAGTTATGACTTGGATTTTTTAATAGCTACTTTTGATTCAATAGACACTGTAGGATTAGAAGTAAATAAAGTAAGAAAAGTAGAAAAAGTAGAAAAAGTAAATCAACAAAATTATTTATTAGAAAGAAAAAAGTTGAAAACAAAAGTAGATAGTTCTCTTATTTCTTCTGATTCTTTTAATTCTTCTCTTTACACTTTATCTGAGTCTAAATCCACACAATCTAACTTACTACTTCTACATTCTAAGATCTTAGAATGTTTAGAACACTACCTAACCCTGTTTACTACTTAGTAGTTTGTCTATAGTATCAAGTAGGGATAGTCTCAGCTGAGTTCACAGCTGAGGACATAGGTCCATCCTTGTTGAAAGAGAAAGGTTAATAAGGAAATGTTAGTATATATACTTACTCTCTTAGACAATAAGACTGTACAAGCTGTACATTCTCTTCAGAACAAGTAGTAGTTTATTAGAGAATGTTCTAAACACTAGCTCTAGGTCTCTGTCCTCTTGACTCCCTTCTCAGGATCCTCTCAGATCTGAACAATAGCTCTAGTAAATAGTGGATGTACTGGTTCATACATTAATAAGGCCTTTGTGTAGGAACACTACCTTCCTACTTAACATGTTCTACTTCTAATCCTAGTATACAATGTAGACAGAACCCTGAACCAGAATAGTCAGATTACTGAGTTTGTCCAACTACAGATGACTATTCAGAATCATAAGGAAAGTATTAAGTTCAGAGTTACTAACCTTAGAAAGACAGACATCTTTATTAGATTTGAATAGCTTAAGGCTTACAACCCTACTATTAACTAGTTAGAGTAGACACTTACTTTCAATCAGTGTTCTGAGTCTTACAGCTACCTTACACTACTGTTCTGAGTGAATACAGACACTTTTAATATTACTAACAGTTCTAATAAAGGTAACTAGTTGTTCTTCTTTAACTAGGATAGATATATAAACACATATTCTAGTTAAGGCAGAATAGAGTTGATCTAAAGGATGTC